TCTTGGCCATAAACATATATATCCACCGTGCTGGCCTTAAATTTCAGCTTTGGCGTCGGCTTCTCACGTCACACCCCCGGGACCACCTTGCAGCTGCTGCATTCGCTTATTTTCGTTCGTTTGTCATCATTTTTTCAATAAATTTCAATTTCCAGGCCTCGGGTCCCCGGGCTCCAGAGGAAGAGGAAGAGGCAGAGGGTACCCGTATCGTATCGTATCGTATCGTTCGTATCCTTCGTCCACTTGGACCGCCTGTGAAATCCGAAGTGTAAAATTGATTTAAATGGCTCGTGAGTGAAGGAGATAATTTTCAGTTGTCAGATGCTTGTAATATTTATGTGGCAGCGATTATTATACCCAGGTCCGCTACCCCGTTTTCATCCACAACCTGGGTTTGTTGCCCGGCCCCGAGATCGTTTAATGTTACCTACGCGTGAAAATTACTTACTTGTCGACCACTGCCCCCCTTCCACCCATGGCACCCAAGGCAACGCTTAACTCATTTTTAATATGAATAATTGTGGCAAATTACAAGGCAATTGCATATGGCCCACCACTGGCCACTTCGAAGGCGACAGCGAGTGAATGTAAGTCCGTAATTGAATTGGCGGCCAATTATCGGAAGGAGATTGTACAGGGCTCGCGATGGGACGCGTGAGAGAACTTTTAAATTTCCGGTGGGCTGTTGGTGAGTGAGTGGGGGCCAGGAATCCATTAGTTCGTGTCCAGGAAAGCACTTTGTTGCAAACCTTTGGGTACGATGGCAGCAATACATGGTAGTTGCTAGTATTCGGGCTACGTTTTATTATAAGCCTGGAGAGAGTACATCTATCTAGTTTTATGGGGGGAGTCCTTATAGCCCATCAATCTTTTCCTTTTCACATATTGCTTACTTATATGAAAAATTCAGAAAGTGTGAAGTTTAAATTTCATATCGTAGAGTAGGACCCTTGATTAATGCCTTTGACTGATCTAACGGAAAGAATAGACAAGGATTTCGAGTTTGTATTTTACTAAAAACCACTTTAGTTATATGTCTCTTGTTTTAGCATTCTTTGGTATGTAATCTGATTATGTACATTTTTCAAATTAGCGTCATAACCAGGTAAAACAAATGGATCATCATATTTTAAACACTCGACTTCCAGTGATACTTGATTAAAGTATCATTAATAATTTATAAAGAAATTTTATTAAACACAGTTGTAACTACACTCAGAATTAAGTATTTTCGGAGTCAAAACTTCGCCAAGCATGGAAAATACAGAGCCCGAGGACATAATGCAGCCTTCAAGCACGAATTTTCCGGACCGAAAGTACTAGATTTCAGAACCATTCGGTCTACAATGAAGTATGAATAATTTTTAAATTTAGTCATATTTGTAGTAAAAACAGGCATGATTTAAGGACAAATACTTCTAAAATCAATATACGTAAATTGTAAATTTAAATTTGGGTTTTAATTATATGTTAGTAAGGGAAATAAGTATGGGAAACTGAAATAAACGAGATACATCTTAATAATAATAATTTGCCGCTCACGGGCATTAACACTGAGTAATTTATGCGCCTTGTATACCGAGCACTTTCAGAATAAACAGTTGGGAATTATTAGGTGTTTAAATCCAAAATGTGCTCAATGTGAGAACTTTTTCAGAACGAACATTCTTAAATGGTAAGCATGAAATCGTTCTTAAATCAAGGCATTTTGTACTTGATCTTATGTTTTCCCTAAGTGTAGGTAACGACTGCAGTAAATTTACTGTTTAAGAAATGATTTCTCATAGATTCCGACGTCTTATTGTCAATTTATATTTTTTGATACTTTTTCAGAATTAGAAATAATTAAAAAAGTTGTGGCTTCTTTTGACTGTAACAACTATAATACTGAAGCAATTGGCCGCACTGATAACAAGCACTGATAGAATATCATCGTCATCACTAATTTATGATTAACGCTGCGTATGAATAACTAATCCCGAGGAACTCAAAGCTAATTACCCACACGTACCACAAAAGGGGTTCGTTTCACGCAGTGCCGAGATTTATGGCGCAAAATTAATAATAATTTCAACCGAATTAATAATGGCCAATGAAGCCTGCTTTATGGCCAGTTCCAGATGATTAACAATGTGCGCACGATCCGGAATGGAGGACCATAAAGTTCAACACGATTTGGCTGTTTGTTTACCATTTCTAATAAGCGACTCCTCGGGCGCCTGGAGTCCGGGTTGGGGTCGGGGTCCGGCGGAAGAGTTGAGGGTCAGGGGTCGGAGGAGGCTCATTGTTTGCCCCTCATGAAGGCCCCTCATGGGTTCCTCACAGCAGGTGTCCGGCGGAGAGTTTAGGGGCGCGTGTGCCAGCCTCGTTATTGTCTTCATTCTTAACACCAATGGGTATTCGGGGTATCGGGGGTATCCGGGGCCCCCCATCAAACAGATGACGATAATGGCACTTTCTCCCCCTCCCTTTTTGATGATCTGTGGGAGGAGGGGTCATCTTGGACCACAGAATTTGGTGTTGATCGCTGCATTGTTGGGTTTGTTGCTGTTGCTGTTGCCTCGTTTTTCTCATTCATGTTGGACAAGATTTTTATCGCACTTTTTCATTAACATTTTGTGGGATCTCGTATCTGTGTCCGCTGTTCGCTGCCTCCATCCAACTTTGTTTTATGCCCATCTTTATGTGTTTTTTGGTTCCTCTGGCATTCCCAACTGTTGTCGTTGCCGTCTGTCTTTCTAATTCAATTGAAATATGATCTGTTATTATGTAAATTTTACGATTTCCTAATTTTTTAACACTTATTTTGGTTATTCTGTTGACTGTCTAGGCCTGGCGCCAAAAATGTATCCGACGCTGTAAGTGATACTGACTTCGCCAGCGGGGGAGATCTTCAGTTAGGACCTGTGTGGGCAATGGCCGATCTTGATTAGGCGGATCAGCCTGGCGCCCCATCAGTCCGTCAACTTTGTAGGGTTTTCGATCAAATTTCCCAGTTACATTTCAAAATTGGCATTTTGGGTGGTCCTCGATGCGAGTTGTTCATGGCACACGCTGAGATCGAGCTACCGATAGATGGGTCATTTTAACAATAATCTGCTGAAAATAATACTAGGTAAAGCATATATCTCAATGGCCTGTTGCAATATGTGTTACTAACGGTATGTGGAATCCATTTTCTCATGTGCAACTGAAAATTGTCAATAAAAACTTACTTGTAGTCGCACAAGAAGTTGTCCTTTTTTTGAGTAGCTTATAGATTTGAATGCCTTACTAAAATCTTCAGTGCATCATTTTAAAAATGTTGTTTCCCTATTTAATTTACCCATTGTCGTGGTGTACAGAGGCATTTTTAAAATCTAGTGCCTCTAGCTTTTATGATTTCTAAGATCCCGATTTCTTGGTAAATATCACTGCACAAAGATTATTCGCTTCTTCACGTTGTCAATGTACATTCTATAAGGTAATTCATTTCATAAAACCAAACTTAATAAAACGAATTAATAATTATGGCCTACAAATAACCAAACTAACTTGCCAAATAATTTGCTCATTAGCGGTCCTCATTGGGTTAAATTATGCATCTTAAACGAAAAGTTAATGTTCTTTCCGAAAAGAAATTTATGAAAAATTTGGTATTTTGAAGTAAGCACAAAAATTTACCGAATCCTACTTTCCGGCTTAAAATCAACTCTTAGTTTACCAGAAAGATTGCTTTAAATAAAACCATTAAAATAATTAAATCAAAATGGTAATAATTTCCAAACCGGAAATACCAATAAGCTCAAGTGAAACTTAAGTTGAGTTAGTAATGCAAGTCCTGGAGAATTTTCGAGCAGAAAGAGAGAAAGGCCAGTAATTGCAATTATGCATGAGATGCAAGTGGATAATTAAAATGGGATTGCAGGACTCGCAGGTACCACACTAAGCATCCTTTTTGTTCCAGGAAGAAGGAGTTCATGGGGAGGAGTTCCGATTTCCTGCGATTTCCGCCTTTCAATATGGCGTCCACTGCGCATGCGGTTCGCCACGAAGCGATTTCCGCTGACCAATCAGCAAGTTGTTGTTGCTCCACTGCAGCAGTGTGAGTGCCTGAGTGTTTCGGTGTGTGAGAGCGCGTCCGTGTGTGGGAACAGGTAAACCGGAGGGGGCGGTCTTTCTTTCCAACCTGTTTGTCCGCTCTCTCACTCTTTCGCACACTGCCCGTTTCACAGTGACTGCAAAACTGTCAGGCGATCGAACTGTGGGATAAACTACCACTTTTTGTGAGTGTTTCGTTTTTAAACTAACAAGAACTCGTATTTCTTAACACAGTTTTATGGACTAGTACGAAAATATTTGTTCATTTTTATAATAGTAATTTTACGAATTCGTTAGCATGAAAAGGTAGATCCCACAATAAATGTGTGTGCACTGTAGTAGAGATTCCAAAATAAATGTCGTTTTGTCTCCCCTTTCGTCCACCTTTTGAAAGACTTAAACCTTATGGGATTTTTTATTACAAAAAAAATTGTAATCAAAAAAATTCAAGATCAAATGTTCTCAGTTTAAGTTTTCCCATGTATTAGAGAAGAAACGTTCTTGAAATTAAGACGCAGGAATCTTGAAATATATCTATTTTGAATATTTATTTAACCCAGGGAACGGTTTTAAAAACGTTTTTTCTTTTTGTGCTCTTTTTCAATCTAAAGTATATGTATCAGTTGCCTTTTCTGATCGATATATATAAATTTAATAGCTGCTGAAGGAAAGGCAAAAATTTTGTGTTATGTTAAAAAAAGAGCACATGAAGAGGTGGTTTATCCCACGGTGCACTGCGCCGCAGTTCACCCCCCTGGTGCTCGCTCACTCACACACTCACTCCGGCCGGCAGCCATCTCGCTCTGGCGCACTCACACCGACGGCGGCACCAACCATTTTCTGCTTTCCTGTCTCGGTTGTTTTGTTTTTGGTTCGAGGCGGTTTGAGAACCGGAGAGTTCTCAGTTGTTTTCGAGATTCCGTCGCGTGCGGTTCGCTGCCCGATCTCCCCACGTCGCTCGCTCAATAATAATATTAATCCAGGCCGGATCCGGCGGCCTTTCGACGTCCCGCGCACAAAGTTATATTTAATTCCCGACTCCCGATAAACAAATGCAAACGCATCAATTCAACGCACATGAAAACGAGGAATAAGCGAGGAGAATCAAGCTAATCAATCAGCTGGCGGCCATTTTTTTGTTGGCACTATTTCAGTGCTGTCGTCGCAGGTTTTCCCCTTTCGATTTGTAAGTGCAATTTATTCGAGTCACGGCAGAACAGCGAAAAAGTTTTCTCGAAAAAATAATTTGTAACACGTGTTGACCACAGTGCGTATGATAAATATATGAGGTGTTTGTGTGTCTGTGATTCCGAGTGAGTGTGCGTGAGTGCGCGGCACATGGCTTCGATTTGAAAAGTTTGGCAAAAATGCAAATCGAGGAAAAACCACACGGCAAAAATCATCGTTCATCTTGCCACATATAACATTTGTGGATATCGCGCAACCAGCATCAAAAAAACTAAGCAACAAAAGCACAAACCCAAACAAATCAAATAAATAACAAACAAAAACTAAAAACAAACACGGATACGTATCAACAATAAATAATCAAAATACAGGTGAGCAACGGCATTAAGTTTCGACGGGTTTTCAGCTTGCCGACGGCAGAAAGTTTACTCTTAAAGGAGGGTCTATTAGAAGAAATGCCAGACTTATACATTCAGAACGGGGACGGCACATTGTCTACATTGACAAAAACTAGATTTCGCGTTATTTTTCGAAACGCCAGATCTTTAAAGCTGTTTCCGAACTCTCTAAAATGTACCTGGATGTGCAAACATGGAATTAAATCATCATAATAGAGTTTTTCAACCATTATAGACAATTTTCAACAACAAAATAGTTCCAAATATAGATATTAGCGTTCAATAATCTTTCTAAATATCTTCGGAAAGGTATAATTCATAAGAAGACTACTTGAGGTATAATACAAATAAATGTTAGCGTTAAACTTTTGAAAAATTGTACTTTTATATGATATTCTAAGTCTTATTATTTTATAAATATTTTTTTCCTCATATCGTAACTGTTCAAATGGTTGTTGATGCAAATCAAAAATAAATATTCTAGAATGATAAAATCATCTATTCTGCTCTTCATTAGTTAAACAAAATTATTAAAATTCTGTACTTGATATTTTAATTATATAATTTCTTCGCGCGTATCTACAGTTCTATCAAAAGTTTATTGAGTACTCTTTAACTCAACTTTACTGCCGAAACAATGCACCTTTAATTTTGTGTACCTATTTTAAAAACTTAATTTTAACATTTTCTGAGTGTTTTTGAGAGCTTTTCAAGTGTGCATAACGAAAACATTTAGAGCTTCCATAAAAGTCTTGTCGTACCTTTTTCATTTTCTAATGGATCAATCTATCATCGAAGTCCATAGATTCACAACTTTTTGGCAATCTCAATGGGGTAAGGAGAAAGCCAAAGTGCAATTCGCTTTTTGGCGGTTGTGGCATTGGCGAATTCCAAATAGCCAGCAGCCATCGGAAAAGCAACTCGAGGCACTTGAAAAATAATTCGGGGGGAACGTATCGTAGGAAAAAGCACGAGAATTGCATGTTTACTTATATTTGGAGAGGAATACTTGTTTACACACTAAATGCAAAATGCTCTTGTTTTATTCACATCTCAATTGCCAGGCAGTCTTATATTCATTGGCCCCAGACATTTTTTATTAATTAGAGGAAAAGAATGAGTTGGATGGATCGAAAGAAAATCCGTTTCCAGTTGTCGTTCATTCATCACTAAGATGTTTCACGCCCGTATCTCGAGAATGGTACTCGAATACATCGTGTTTATTTATAAAAACAGTTTATTTCGATTTTTTTCTTGAAAATTTAAGAAATGATTAACCTATCGTTGAGAACTGTTCTGCAAAAGAAATTTATCCGGAGATGAGTGGGTGTAGACCGACATTTGTCCGGTTAAATATGAGATTCGTTTTGGGGATTGGAAACGTTTAAATGATTTTGGCCAGCGCGTGTTTGTCGTCAGAGATCAAATGATTAATTGAGTGCGGAGATGGGAGCAGATGTTGCGTACGATTTTGTGTACCTATTTGCGGGAATACTTCGGAATATCTTGATCGGAAAGATTCCATCTCGGAAGTGGCCAAATTGACAAATTTACGCATTCCATTCGCCAAGAGTCGGGCAAACAGATGCAGATACGCTAGCTTGGCCACTGCCACTTTGATCATTTTACGCACCGGCGTGCAGAATCCGCCGTAATTTGGGGGCAGGCTCCCATCTTTCTGTCTTCCCAACTTGCAACAAATTCACATTGAGATTCATTCAAACTTTGGGCTAATGTAGCGCAGCAAGGCGAAAAGCAGCAGAAGAGGCGGCCAAATACATGTGTGCACCCATTAAATTGACAAATTTCATTCATTACGCCGCGTTCTATTCGATTTCTTTGTGCGTTGCTCCCTTCACGCGGCAATTAAACGGAAAATGTTAAAAATACACTTGGCCAGTGCCCACAAACGCGTATCTGTATCTGTATCTGCATTTGTATCTGGCAGAAAGCGATTGTCTTGGGACTGCTGTTCGAATTACCCGGAACGGGGGTTGGCCCACAACAGGTTGCTTGGCACAAGGCTCCCCATTCCCATTCCCATTCCCATCCCCATTCGATTACATTGTATAAACACAGACGACGGCGCAGATGATTTCGGTGTTAGTCGCGGAAAACAGATTTCGATGGCCAATGCTCCAAATTGAGCTGGGGTTTCTTTGAAAACTGGGGACAAACCACTTGCAGAGCTCGGAACTCGGAGTATGCAGCTCAGGAATCCGGTTCTGGGTGAGAAGATTTCGGATTTTATTGTAAGTTGACTTTGATTACAAGCTAATTAGGAGAAACGCCTGCGGCCCCTGCAGCCCAAACAATTCAATTTGATTAACAACCCAATAGCATCTCAAAGTTGTGTGCACATCTCGTGGATACTGTGATGGAAGCTTAGGTGTCCGCTTTCAGATTTCTCGAGATTCCCCCGCTTGCAGACAATAACACTCAAATTAAAATCTTATAAAAGTCAAAGAACAAACAACGGGGAGAAATGGGGAATGGGAATGGAGGGCAAACACGAAACAGAAACAGAAATCCGATAGATAGATAACGCGGCACTGGAAATAAATTACAAAATTTGTAAAATAAATTAAATTAATTTTATTCGAATGCCACAAAAGTCAGGCAGCAGGCGATAAGAGATCTCCCACTAGCAGGGGGAAATTGAGAGGCAGCCAAAAGATGCAGCCCGATATCAGATAGAATATCTTTCGTGGCTGCTGGTGTTCTTCGCTTTGGGTTTTTGGGGGCAGGGATCTTTCGGATCGTGCAACGGTGCAAGGCCATAAACGTTGGTATGCTATCTGTTAGCTACTATTCAAAGCTCTTAGAAGGTTTATTAGCATCGAGTTCGACCGATCTTGGGGTTCAATATCATTACCTCCATTAAGTCCTCTGCATTGTATCTATATCTATAGAATACGAACAGTATCCACTTGTGCGCGCTGGATTAGGCAAAACAGATTGAAAATTTATCGCGTATTTCGTTTCACGTTCGCATTTTGCTTGTTTACTTGCGTCAAACATGAAACAGGCCAACAAAAATACAAGCAACAAAGAAAAAAGAATACCCAGCGAATCGAAGAAATGGAAAGAAATCTACGAATTCTACGAAGAGGCGGCTGCGGGGGATCTATAGCAATCCTAGGCCGATGACTCAAGAGCAGCCAACTTGGCGTTGGTATTTTCGTTACAGCAGCAGCCAAAACGAAATCTCTATTTTCTTGTTTTGTATATATAATCTGCCCGGCACGGCACACACGAGAACTGAAACTGAACTGAAAACAGATCCAAGAATATCTCGACTCGACGATATACGAGATATATAATTCTGTGTGAGTTTCACCCCAATCGAATCGCCAAGGGGGCTGTGTATCTATATCTATATCTATATCAGTTTATCTGGACAGTCTGGCCAAGAGCGGAGATCGATTGCAAATATCAAAACATCTATAAAATGCACCCGGGATATTCTATCTGGGGGATACATTCGGGACCTCTCGCTCTCACTCCCTCGCTGCGTCATGTTGTTGTCGTCGCCGCCGTTTGGTAATTTTAGAAATATTCTTAGAACCGAATACAGAAATCTGAAATCAGAGGAATACCGAAACACCATGCGCCCCATATACACGTATATTGTGTAAAGAGTTTATTTTCGTAAGAGATCTCTTGGGATCTCGGGTGCGGACAGGTTAGAGAGCTAGAGCTCTGCCACGGCCAAACCATATTTCCGATAATCGAACATCCCGCATTAATAATTGCGCCGGAGCTAAGTTAATCATGTTTGACAACATGGGGTCGACTCCGAGGTTTTGTTTTGATTTCCATTTCGATTTCTGATTTCCAAACTACTTATGAATATGGGAAATCAAAGCAGACACGCTTGTTTTGTTTAGCATTTGTGCAAGTGTGGGGGGCGAAAATCATTTGCCATTCAATGGTAATTTCCACAGTTTTATGTGTCTCAATTAGCGTTGTTTCAATATTAATCGAAGCGGGCAATAAAAAGATGAAATCTGGGTGGGTTAATTAGATCGGTAAATGTTGCGTTAATTTGCCTAAAAATTAGATGTTGCAATCGATGAACTTTTTGGGTGGCAAAGTAGATTTCTGAAGAAAGGTGTATATTCTAACAAACTTGGTTATACTCGTGTTTCCCTTTAATATTTATGAGTAATCACTACCCATTGATACCCGTTGATATAAAACTATATACATTTTAGTAAATACGCTAAAAATCTTCATTATCAAATTTTTCATTTGATTTCCTCCAATATGATCAACGATAAAAATATATTTACTATTCACATTCAACTTATGCCAACTTTATAATTCTTTCATTACAGCGCTCAAAAAACCAAAGAACTAGGCAGATATTAGGTTAATCAGTTATCTAGATCGTCTGGACTATCACTTTTAAACCTTATAGCGGAGCTCTTGAAATTGATCCCGCCACCTATCAGAATCTCCGCTTCCCGCAGAAAATGTTACAGCATCCCGCCACAGATTTTTACGATTTGGCGGCGGCCAATGCGGCTGCCGTGCTCACCGCCCGCCACACGCCTCCTTACAGTCCCACGGGTCTCACGGGATCGGTGGCCCTGCACAACAACAACAACAACAGCGCCACCAGCAACAACAACAACAGCAGCACCCTGGACATCATGACGCACAACGGCGGAGCAGGCAGTGGCCTCCACCTGAACAGCGGCAGCAACGGAAGCGGCGGGGTGGTCAGCGGAGGAGGCTCCGGGGGCAGGGAGAATCTGCCCAGCTTCGGCTTCACCCAGGAGCAGGTGGCCTGCGTCTGCGAGGTAAGCAAATAAGATGGCATGTTAATAGAGATCCTTGAACATCCTAGTTAGGGAAAAATGCGTTACAGGGAAGTTATAGTCCTTTTCCTTTCAAGATGATACTTAAGTTAAAAGTAGAGAAGCTACATATATTCAAATATAACTTTGGTTCTATATTTAATTCAACAACTTAAAAAAGCTCTATTCTAGAATTATACCCATCCAACGTTTTAAAAATATGCAAATTTCTATTATTTTTTAATGAAAATAAAAACTTAACTAATATGGCTAGAAATATTCCGATTAAATAATATTTATATTACTTTGTTCCTATAGAATATATAATTTTATTCAACAACTTAAAAAAGATCTAACCTAGAATTCAGAATACAGATCATATGCACCTTACCCATCAAACGTTTTAAAAATTTAAGAAAAATGTATTTGTGTATCGCTAGAAATATTTAGATAAAATACTATTGATATTACTTCGTTCCTATAGGATTTTTGATTTTATTAAACAACTTAAAAAGATCTAATTCAGATCATACATATGCTCCTTTCCCATCAAACATTTTGAAAAAATGCGAATCCGTTTATTGTACAATGATGCAGATTGTGATTTGTATAAGGTAAAAGATTATTTTATTTTCACAAAAAAAGACAGTTTAGAAATAGGATAAAGTATTTCTCTAAATAGACGTCGGATTTGGCCCAAAATAGTATCCTCAACATTCGATTTAAGCGAAATTTAATTACAAATACATTTTTCTGATAACTTTATAATTGGATTCAAGCTTAAACTAATTATTATATTCAAAATAAAACTTATTTAATTTAAATGGCAAATACAATAGGACAAAGTTAGTTATAAATTGATCTCTGATTTGGCACAAACCTATAGTGTCCACGACATTCGAGTTTAGGTACATTTTATTGAAAATACATTTTTCTGATAAGATTATAATCTGATTCAATCTGGTAATAATGGTAAATATGGTATATAACCAGAGTTTGCTTGGAATTGAATGTTTATGCGATATCCGACTTCTAGCCACTATATATTTTACCGATCTATTCCATTCTTAATAAGAATTTCTTCTAATTTCTAAGTAAGCAAACTGTTGAAAATGCAGGGTTAGGCCCAACTATTCAGATCTATTTCAAATTACCCCAAACTGAATGGTCAAAAGTGAAGAACCCTATAGGGGCAATACTGTTCCCCTTCTTTTGAGCCACCTCCAATCAATCCCGACCACATCTCTCGCACAGGTTCTGCAGCAGGCGGGCAACATCGAAAGACTGGGCCGCTTCCTCTGGTCGCTGCCACAATGTGATAAGCTGCAGCTGAACGAGTCCGTGCTGAAGGCCAAGGCGGTCGTTGCATTCCATCGCGGCCAGTACAAGGAGCTGTACCGCCTGCTCGAGCATCACCACTTCTCGGCCCAAAATCACGCCAAGCTCCAGGCCCTGTGGTTGAAAGGTGAGACTCGGAGGAACGAACTCCTTGCTTAACCCCAAAAAGTGTTCGGAAGGTAGAAACAAAAACGAATTCTTTCTCCCTCCGCCAATGTAGCGCATTATGTGGAAGCCGAAAAACTGCGCGGAAGACCCTTGGGTGCTGTTGGCAAATATCGTGTTCGCCGTAAATTTCCATTGCCCCGCACCATCTGGGATGGCGAGGAGACGAGCTACTGTTTTAAGGTGAGTTTTTCTTGGCTGAGCTGGGGAGGGTCCGGGTCCAAGTCGTCCTGGGCCGCTTTCCATTTTAATTGTGGCAAGCGCGGAAATCGTACAAATGCCCGCTCGCCTGTCTGATTCCATGGACTGCAATTGCCTGATTTCGCTGGGGTAACGCCTTTCGGGCTTATCGGAGGAATATCCTGGACAGGAAATGTTTTGTTTGCTCTCTGGCGGGCTTTCGGTTGATTCAAGTGGATTATAGGAAGGTCAGCTCAGTTCTAGGGACTCCTGAAAGAGCACCAGTTAATTGTCATTTTGCAGTTATTAAACAAGAAATGTTTTTTATTAAAACATGCGACTTCAAGTCCTTTCCATAACAGTTTTCAAAAAACATCCAAGTGTACTACTCTCATGAACGCCTTTAATGAGTTCCGTTCATTTTCGGGACAAGTATCAACAAAGTTTATGGTTCAAATATTCTAATTCTCGAATCTTCTAGTTTATTTATTATCCAGTTCGAGATTTTAAAATTGGTTTTGTGTGATACTGGTTGTAAAACTTCTTACAAGAAATAGGTCTAAATAATTTTTTTAAAAATTTTAATATACTTGTGTGGTTTTAAAATAATGGTCCAACCTACAGACCTTCCACTACAGAAACTGTCCCCTTTTATTGTGGACGAATACAAAAAAGTCTTTAAATCCTTAAATGTCGTGTTTGAAAGACTGTCAGTCTGTTTTTAAGGCATTTATTTTATTTTAGGATCACGTTTTTGAAGCTTACCGTTTAAAAACATTTCAAAAACTATTTTTTTGAGAACAACGTTTGTGTTCATCATTGTAACCGGAGAAAGAGGGGTTTTTAAAATTATTTTGCTCAGTACTAAGCGCTCAAAGATTGGTTAATATCGAAATGATATGTGAAACAAAACTGGACAATACAAAAAAGGAATTTTCCCTTAAATATTCATTGTGGAAAATGTGTAAGATCAAAAATTAATAAAAAAGACCAACATTTTTTTTACATATTTTTTATTTTTATTTTTTTAAATCCGTTTTATGGATATAAAATATTTTTTTTACCCAAATACATTCATTAATTTTATATGAATTCAATATATTCTTCCGCAGGAGAAATACATCCATTAATTTTATATCATCTTAATATATTATTCCGCAGGAGAAATCCCGCTCGGTATTGAGAGACTGGTACTCGCACAATCCATATCCATCGCCCCGGGAGAAACGCGATCTGGCGGAGGCCACAGGACTGACCACCACGCAGGTGAGTCGATTGGCGATGCCAAAAAGTAGAAGCTCAAACGGCAGACGTGAAACGCAAATGTCAAACGCATCTTTTGACAAATTTCAATTGAAATTCCTCACCGATGCCATCCTCCACATGTTAATTGCATCTCATTAATCATGGGACAGAGCTGTGAATGTTTACAAATGTCTCTAAGCTATTTTTATGCTTTTACAGGTTTCCAATTGGTTCAAGAATCGACGACAAAGAGATCGAGCTGCCGAACATAAAGAGTGAGTAGCGAATAATATTGATTATAATCTTTAACCAAACTGATTTCTGTCTGATTCATTTGGTAAAGTGAGATATTTTTGGGTAGAATCCATGCTAACCAAATAAAATCTATATCTAGAGGGGTTATATCAGTGGCGTACGTTAAAATAGGTGTATATATTTATCTGACAAGTGTCAACGCGTGCAAGGCACCGCAAAAAATAATATATTAATTTGCATTTAAAATTTCAATTACAAAAGCTGACGGCATTTACTTTCAAGGTCGTCGAGTGGGTGGTGGGGGGTGATGAGGTGGCTGGCTAATTAGTGCCAAGGACATCACGCAACTGGCACACGCTGTGGTAAACGGGTTGGGGGGTGGGGTTTTTGGGGGTTGGGGACTAAGTGAGAGAAGAGAAAGAGTCGCTGACAAAGTCATTAACATGTTGTTCCAAATTCCAAAATGATCCTACATATTTATTTTATTTTTATTTGATTTGTTGATGTTTGCTTTTCGGTACGTATATGCATATCTCCGGCATATGTCTCGCAGGCCTCGTCACTAATTAAAATCCCCAGTCCTTTCCCTTTCCCTTTCCCTTTTCCGATTTCCCCTGAACATCTGCATTTCCGCTTAAGCAAATACTCGTAGTTTCAAGCAGTTGTGGCACTCCCTTCGGACGATTTCCTCTCCTTCGGCGGAGATCTTTGGCCGCTGATAGGAGATATTCTTTCTTAAATATTAAACATCCTTTGGCCGACTGGCATCCTTTTGTTTGTCCTTTCGAGCCGGCTTGGGTCCAGCTGGAAGTCATGTGAAGTGCAAACAGTCAAAAATGGGTTTTCTGAAGTGGCGGCATTTCCTTCGCTCTATTCCCTTACCAACCATTTGAGAACCACCCATTTTGGCCAACCATCATTAGCGCGAAAATTGCCAAAAAGCCCAAAACTTTCGCCAGGACAGTTCCATTATGCTAAATGGTATATCACTTACGACTTCGCGCTCACGAACGGCAAGCGAAAAGCGAGAAATTGTCGTAATAAAAATGGAAATAAAAATGGTAAAAACCGAAATAATGCAAAAAATATTATAAATTGGATGCCGTGGCAACCGCAAGGCACACTCATGCAAAAGTATCTCACAGATACACGTTCGTTCTCGGCGATAGTTTGCCTCACTATACCCCATACACTGCGTAGCATGCCCTCTGCCTCTCCTCCTGGCCGGTAACTTGATATATGTTTATGGCTGTTGCCTCGATGAGCAACTCAGTGTGCTGCTACTTTAACTTTTTCATATTGTTTTTTGCTCCTCTTTTCTTTTTCCTTATTTTTTTTTTTGCATGAGGGTGTGTATCTATGTTCCATGCAGCTTTGTGGCAGCCAGCAAACCACAACGGCGCCAAATCTGAATCTAAAGCGGCACTTTGAACAGCCCAACAACTGCCAAAGTGGTTATTGTTTGAATAGGCACTACTACCTTTGTAAGGGCCAGAAGAGAACGGCGATCAGATTCGGAGTATCTAGGTAGTTGGAATAAAATTAAATGTGTCTGAACTACGCCTGGGCGATCTAGGATATAGACATGTGCCTTATCGAATCAATTTTAGGATTGAAAAGGGTTATGGTGAACTTGTCGAATATTATGTTCATCCCCAAGAAACATTTTTAGGACTTGTCGATTGATTGGTTTTTATTAGTTGCCTTCAAGAAACATAAAGTTCAATGCTTAAATAATAGTACCCAATAAACTTGGTTAAATATTTATGGTCTTTCATTAACACAAGGATAAACTAAGCTGATATATACAGTTAACTTTACCATTAAATGCTTCTGGAATTACCCTGTAAAACTACGTATTTAATGTATTCAAAATCGTCTTTTGAAGTTTTAAAAATTGTACATTCTGCTGAACGTCTTTTATAATCCTTAAATAGTAATTTCGTTACCATTTTACATTATTTGTGATCAAGCGAACTTATCAAATTACATTTAACTGGAACTTTATTGCCAAGATAGGTGTACCAGATAGATTTTTAAGAAGATATGACAATACATCCCAACAAGCAGTCAGTTTTCAAACTCCCCCTCAAATGGGATCGGCAAGTATGGATCGATTATTTGGTGATCTGGGCTCAGCTGAAGATGAAGCACAGCGCCATGCGCATATAGTCGACTGTCGAAGATATGGCGGTTAAAATGACGCGGTACCTATCGATGTACATGGTCACGAACAGCAGATACTTCTTGTTGGTCACCTCGGTGCGCCACACGTGATTGGCGGCCCCCAGAAGGTCCCAGTTGGGTGGCGGTACCAGTCCGAAGTGCTCCTCGCCCACGTACAGGAATATGCCGTAGTAGACCATCAGGACGAACAGTGGGTACAGTATGGGCAGCATGATGAAGAAGAGCACCACACAGCTGTACATGAACTTTATGATCGTCGGAAAGGGCATTGGTTGCATCCAGATGTCGAAATAGTGCTCAACCAGCGGCTGCATGTAGTACACCAGCTTCCCAGGCTTCGATACGGTCTTCCACTGAATAAAATAGGGATAATAAAGCTTAATTCCTTGTTTTGTTTCGGTACTACGAGGAACTCACTGCCTTACGCTTGTGGAACGCCTTATGCCAGGTCTTGTGCATATTTCTTAGTTTGGAATTTTTTCGCGAATAAAATTTTGATTGAATTTATGTCAATGCCTCCTGATTAGAGCTGGAACTAACATCGATGTTTTTTTGATTGTATCGATGCTTCGAAAACTTCAATAACATCGATGTTTTTTCTTCGTACATCGATTTTTTTTTACTGTTCTAGACAAAAATCTAAGAGAAGAATACAAATACAAAGCTTAATGATATAAAACTCTAATTCAAAATAAAGGTAATTCGTGTAATGGCGCGCCCTTGACTGAATTGCAAATTGAAGTTATAGTGTGCTCTGTCTAAAACATTTTCAAGCTATGGTGTCCATAAAAATCAGAACGCCCAAAAATAAATTGTATTTTACCTATGTATATCTATCTTTGAGCCGTTCAGATCTCTGTTAATCCTAAAATAAACTTTATGTTACACAAGTTTCGGAAATTTTAAAAATCAATCTACAGTTTAGAAATGAAGCTGCCTTGAGGCAACTGCTGTCGAAGAATTTGTATTTTTGAAGAAAAGTCAATTACTTTATAAAACAAAGTTGAAAAACGGAACATTTTCCCCTAAAACATTGATTATAATCGATGGACTTCATTAAAATTATCGAAAATAAAGAAACATTGATGTTCCTCAAAATGTACAGTTAAGAGCTTCAAAAGTCGTAGAGTCTACTGCCAATTTCAATATCGGGTTTCCATTGCCTTGTTAGATCCAAAGTTTGTTGAAAAGTTAAAAAACTAACTCAAACAATCTAACCGTAATTTGATACTTTCTATTTAAAAGCTTGTACAATAACATTATGGTATTTCGAATTTCAAAAAATATCCGATTAATGACCTTAGGTCGTGTAAGCTAACATAACCCAATTCCTATATTTTTAGAAATATATTTTACAATAATAGAACGAATTTAAGACATTTTGTTTATATAGTTGTGAGTATTGTTAAACGCTTTCGACATACACATGTTATCTATATTATGCTAATATACTCATTTTTAAGGATAATTCTTCATCTTTCAAAAGTAACAAATGAATATATTGTACATTGCTAGGGCGAAATTTATTTATATTTCTTAAAAGTAGTCCATCTAGCATTCCTTGAACCAAGTAAGGTGTATTAAAATGGAACCCAAGACAAAGATGCTCTTCAGTTGATTTGAAGAATCCTTTTTATTGAATAGGAATTCAGGGGCCATTTCAACTGGATTTGATTGATCTGCCTGGCATTATGAGCCGTATCTACGGGAATTTCAGTGCTTAAGGGCTTCTTCCCTCTCTCCCTCTCTTACTCACTCACACAGTCCCAGTTGCAGACGTGTTCCTGTCCCTCTTTCTCTATATGCTCGCACTCGTACTACCGAGGCGACCCAGTCCGAGTTCCACTTCCAGTTCCAGTGCCAGTCCCAAGACCATCCCACCCCCCATCCACCATCCCGAATCCGCATCTCCCTCCAGACATCGTCATCATTTTGCGTTCGTCGAATGCCACGGTTGGCTGGAGGGTAGCTGGCCAGGGTATCGGGTTACCACAAAATGTGCGTGTGTTCTTTATTCGTTCGCCCTGACAACCCCTCGCTCCAGACCCCGCCAGCACGTTATTCATTTTTATTCGTTTTATTGTACATTCTGTTTTTATTATTATGTATTTTGCGCTTTTGCCCGTCCGAGACTGAGACTGAGGGCCTCGTCTCGTCGCCACCACTCTCCTTTGTGTTTGTTTTCAGTTCCCCAGTTCGGTTCTCGGTTCTCGTTCCCGTTCCCGTTCTCGTTCTCGTTCCCTTTCCCGATCCGATGGCGTTGATAATGATGTTGTTGGTGATGATGGACCGGTTGGTGGTACGGAATCGCTCGGAGGCGCTTGCCATCAGCATTGACATCCGCGGCAGCCCATCTCCATCTCCATCGCCATCTCCGCACCTCACTTTTCCGGGGAGTGGGTGTCAAGTGTACGGGGTCTTGACAATAATTAGATCTCATCTGGAGGCAGAAACAAAACCTCACTAAAAAGAGGATCAAAGTATTTGGTTTTTGCATAAACAAAAGACATTAAAGCTATAGCAAACGTAATATTTCCCCACTTGTAATAGAAATTATACGGTTATTGAGAGAAAGGAAGAGAAATATTTAAGTACATTGTTCTTGAATTGAGAACATTCATTCTTAAAAACCGTGAAGTACATTTTGGTATCAATGTTCTCAATATTAGAACGAAATGGTGAGCAGAGAATAGTTAAATAGAGTTTATTTAACAACTATTTGATAAGTATACACTACTGACTGGACTAACAGTTTATTTGTTGAGATATACAACGTAAATACCGCCAATTCAACTTGATTCGAGCCAAATGAAATCATTGTCAACTTCAAAAA